AAGTCCGTCTTCCTCGTGCAGGCCACTGGCAGGTCTGCCCCGACAGTGGGCAGGAAGGGCGCCGCCAAGATGACGAGCGGTGCCAACCCGAAGAACACCGGTGGCATGCACGGACGGCTCCCGGTGCACGTGGGCATGCGGATCCGGCTCCTGGAGGCGCTGGACCTCAAGAGCGGCCTCGTCGAGGATGCCGAAGGGCAGATCGTGCACATCGCCGTGGACCTTCGAGATCGGGGCGACAAGGCCGAGAAAGACGGGGGGAAGAGGATCTATCTGAAGCACTTGCCGCTGGGGTTCTGGGCGCACATGGAGAAGTACACGTGCGCGCCCTTTCGTGGACGACCTCAAGCGCCACGACGACAGCCTCGCGGGGGACCTCACGGGCCCGCTGGTGTTCATCGAGCCTCGTACGTCGGAGCCGTTCACCTTCCGCACCTCCAAGGTCACCCGAATGGGCTTTCCGTTCTCGCACGGCAGGGTCATCACTGCGGTGGCGTGCCAGGGGCGCACCGTGCCCGAAGGCGACGGGGCGAGGGGACAGCGCTCTGGGGCAGTTTACGGCCAGACCTGCTGGGCGCGAGCAGTCCGCAGCCAGACCTCGATCCTGTGGACTCTCGCCCTGGGCCGTCGGCTGTCTGGCGCGCTGCTTCCCCGGCCGACGTCGCCCAGACGTGATCCTGGATTGCGGCCGCCACGAGGTCGGGAACGGCAAGAAGGAGGACGACGACTGGTGGCTGGAGCTCTATGTGCTGCTCTCGCGCGCCACGCGCCACGAGGACCTCCTGCTCATGCGGGCGCCGCGCATCGAGTTCTTCCACGAGTGGCCAGTGCTGTTCGTAGCCTTGGCGAGTTCTTGCGCCATCTGCTGAAGCTGGCCCCTGGGCGCCGCGAGCCAAATAACATTATCTGCCCCGGTGGAATGCGCGAAACGCTCGCCCGTTAAGGCGACGCCCCAACAACGGGCAGCCCAGGCAGCCGTCGCTGATTCCCAGGTCGCCTCGATCAGCACGTTCCACTCTCCGGGGTTTTCGACGCCCCCTTGCTTTCCTCCCGGGCGAACCGGAAGCGTTCCGCTGAACCGGCGCCCGGCGGCGCCAAGAAGGCTTGCGTCAACGGCGACTCCTGCATGAGGAGCGCGACCATCGCGTGACTGGCGCCCCTCATGGGGAGAGCGTTGCAAATCTCCTCGCTGGAGCTGTGATGCCCGTAACCTTGCGCCCTGCTTTACACCCGTGCGCATGGCCGCACGTGGGGCGGAGCTGCTTGGTCAAGGCCGGCTGGAGGCTGCGCGCGAACCACTTCTGCAAGACCGGCGACTTTCCCAACCAGCGCAATTGTTTGAACTGCCTCGCCCCCTTCTCCTTGGGAGTGCCGAAAAATTCCCAAATCTTACAATGCGGGGACTCGCCGGTAGCTTCGAAGTTTGCCCTCCCTTGGAACTGCTCACATATGTGGATCAGCAAGACCTCGGGCATGGCCTGGTATGATTCAGGTGGGGCCCCATCGACGCGGGGAACCGAACGGTGTCTCATCCTCGCGCCGCCCTGCACCACATCGGAATACTCGACGTTCGCGGGGCCCTCGTGTCCGTCCATCTTCGGGCCCGCGTGCTGGGAGCGCAGACCGCGCAAGCGAATTCACTGACTGTCTAAATCACTAGCATCCCATCGCCAAACTGGTTCCGCCCGAAATCGAACGCAGCTTGTATCCACGCCTCCCTGTCGAACGTAATATCATAATCAAATTCTAAACATGTCGGTGTAAAGGCGGATTGCGCCAGCGTCTTGAGAGGCCCCGCAGGTTGCGTCTGTTGCAGTTCCTCTCTCTCCTGGCTCTCGCCTTCCTCGATGCTGTGGACCCTGTGTGAAGGACTGCATCATGAGTAACCCCGCCGGGCTCGTCAAAAACGGTCTCCTGGACTGGCCTCGTGTCGTACTTGATGGATTTGGCTACGCCGGCCTGTTGATCCTCAATGTCGTTGAGAGAAGAATGTGTCAGTTCAGGCTTGCTGCGCACCCCCTGAAACGTGCTGAAGCCAATCGTATCTTTAGGTGTCCAACCCTTGAAGCTTTCAGCGCGCTCTGCTCGTCGAAACACCTCTCCAAATATCATGGGATCGGCGATGACGGCCCGGTGGTCGACACGCTCTGTCCACGAAGCGGGCGGGTACTGCCATGGAGCGGCATGACCACGTATGCCCGCAGTGACCCAAACAAAATCTATCTGAGAACGTCTGTCCAAATGACGCTTGAATCCGCATGTCCATAGCTCTTCCCGGGCTCGGGTGGTAATCTCACCGTCGCGGCCGAACGTGTTCAAAGCACGAAGACCCAGGGAAGACATCCATGAAAACATCACGCTCTGCATGTTCGTCTTGTGCGTTTGAAGTGGTGGTAGTGTGTGAGGCCTGTGCATTCGGCAATGTTCTTGGGAAAGGTGACGTTGCCGTCGAAGCCGCCGACAACGCTGATACTACGAGGTGAAACTCGCTGCTGGCATTCCCGAACGAATTCAACGGTACCCTGGATGATGCTGGCCGCGTGCCCGTCCACCGAGTCATGGTCGACGAAGTGGCAAATAAGCAAAACGATGGTTCATCCAAGATCTGCCACCACGTCCCAGACGGACCAGGTGGGTAAACCACTGGGGAACAAGCACAGCAGATGTACTCTCCTCCTCACTCGGCCCAACAACGTGCCACTTATGAACGACAAAACTGTTTGCAACCTCCTCTGGTTGCATCGTGGGGACCTCCTGGAGCAGAACAAAAGCATTGGAAAGCCCCCTGGATACAAGATATCGTGTGATCGGCCCGATCCGTCGCCTTCCTATTTAGCACGTGTTCCAGGAACACACGCACGCATCAACTATGGTGCAACTTTCGGGGATGCCGTTGCTGCGAGGGGGGGCCCCTGGCGGCGCTGGATGGCTCGCGCGTGCTTGGTGAGTTCGTCGGGGGTCGCCCCGAACAGCACCTCCGCATTCTGGTCCCAAACGATGTCGTGATCTTCCGTGATGTGGGCAACGTAAGTCTCATTACCCTCACCCTGTTCGTCCAAGAACACGGCAAAGTTTGGAGCCCATAAACATTTCACCCGGCGGTCGCGCAACTTCTCGGTGATGAAGTGCTTGAGCTTCCCCAACAAATGGTATTGTTTCTGCACCTGTGGCGGGCGCTCGACTGTGACGTAAAGGCGGCACTTGCCCTGCAGGTCTGCTGCCCCGGAATCCAAATACTTCTTCCACGCACATCGTGCACGCGGTGCACCCTGGCGGGGCCAGAAGGCGCTTCGGTGCGTGCCCGCTCGCACGCAGCGCACTCTGGCGCGCCCCGAAGGCGCCCCCGTGCGTGCCCGCTCGCACGCGGTGCAGTCTGGCGCGCACCGAAGGCGCTTCCGTGCGTTGCCCGCTCGCACGCGGTGCAGTCTGGCGCGCACCGAAGGCGCTTCCGTGCGTGCCCGCTCGCACGCGGAGCTCGTCGGAATAGGCTGAGGATAGGCAAGAGCGACCTCTCGGGGCGCGCGCACACAGGCGGAACGTGCGTCGAATCGGGCTGCTCGAACCGGCCGAAATCTACATCGAATCGGATTGACGTGGGCCCTGAAGGCGTGGCCGAGGAGGAGCCTTTGCCCCGCCTTCGCGGAGCGGAGCCTCGGATCGAGCACTGCGCTGTGCGAGGAGGAGCCTCCCAGGCCTCTCTCAGGGCGCACTCTGACCAATATTCCGAGGCGGGTCCAGCCGTGGCGAGGAGGGAAGGGCGGCGGCATCAGCGCGTCTTCGTGCTCTAGAAGACAAAAGCACAAACATAAACTTCCGGAATTCCGCGTGGATTTCTTGGATCTGCGCGGAGCGCCAGGGGGCGGCGCCGGAAGTGCCGCCAGGGGGGGCCCAGCGCCGATCCGAGAAGTCCGCGCGGAGCTCCGAAAATTTCTGTTTGTGCAATTGCTGTTCTTCGATCGTCCGTGCACGACTGATCTCATGGCGCGCGCGCTCGCCGATGCATTGCCGATGCATCGGCGATGCGGTGCGATCCTCTGACCTCATCTGTTCGGACCTCGTCTGGGAGGCCTAGAATTTAGCCGTGGCGACGAGGGAAGGGTGGCGGCATGAGCATTTTTTTCCTCTTCTGACCACGACCGACCTCTTCTCCCACGGTCCAAAGATTCGTAGCAAGTTTACGTCACGGGAAACGAATCACCATCAACTTTGTAGTATTGTTCGTCTCCCTCTCGATGTCTGGGAGCCTCCTTGAATTTCCCAAGCCAGATGCAGCAGAGGCCGGCCGAGACACAATTTTGAGCTTCTCTCCAATGGGTTGAATCCTGGTACGAATCTGTGCACGACCGATCTGTTGGCGCGCGCGCGTGCGCTCGCGCTACGGTCGGGCTTCTGCTGGCCCTGGTCCATGCAAACCCGGGCCAGTCAGGCCTTGCAAGATCCTGCACGATCCTGCGCGCTAGCGCGGGTCAATGCACCCCTGGCTTTGCAGGATCATGCAAGATCTGGCGCTCTGGCAGACCCCCGATACATTGACCCCGTCAATAGAGGCCTCCTAGATGGGGTCCGAGCAGAGGGGGTCGGAGGATCGAGCCGCATCGCCGATGCATCGGCGATGCCTCGGCGACGTCGGCAATGCATCGGCGATGTCGGCATGGGGAAAGCCTCCGCAACGCGCCGCATCGCCGATGCATCGCCGATGCGGCGCAATCCTCCGACCCCATGTGCTCCGACCCCATCTGGGAGGCCTAGGCGTTTGCATTGACCCCCATCTCAAAGCTCCCGCCACACTCGGGGATCGTCTGACCCGGGTCAATCCAGCCCCGTGTCAATCATGCCTTGCAAGATCCTGCAAAATCCTGCAGGATCCTGCACCCCAGCCTGGGGCATTGCAACCCTGGCTCTGCAGGATCCTGCAAGATCCGGTGCCCTGGCTGACCCCCGTATGCTTTGACCCCGTCTCAAGGCTCCCGCCACACGCGTGCTCTTGGCCACCCGGAGGCCTTGCGAACGGCCGCGGCACGCGCTGGCGGCGCCAGGCCGCGCGGCGCCTGCCGCCCCAGCCAGGGTGGGGGGGGGGCAGAAGGAGTGCGCGAATCCAAAGAACATACACCACTACCACCTCCATTCCCCTCCCTCCTCCACCCCCAAGATCCGACGCTCCAAACAACTGGAGCAACGGGTTTTTGGCCGTTTTCGACTTCCAGGGGCCCTCGCCAGGCCTCGGGGCCGTCAAAAAACGACTCAGGACGGGGAAGCGCTCCAGACCTCTGGGGCCCACGCATCGGAAAAATTGGAGCAGCCGGATGTTTTTGCAGTGGTGGCGGTGTATTTATGTGGGCCCCGTGGGTTGGGCGGAGAAATTTTCGAATTCCAGCGAGATCCACCAATGGCCCTATGTTCGACGAAAACTTTGCAACGGCAAGGTGGTTCTGTCACGGGATGCCGTTTGGAGGTGCTGACCTTGCCAACGGGTCCAAACTTGCCAATTGGGCAGGGAAGGCACGATTGGGGGTCCCGAAACGGTGTGGGGACACGTGCGGTAACCTCGCAATCCTTCGGTGGCAACTCATGGGAGCCTCCCACGCCATCTTGCTGGCTCTGGCGAATCAACGCCTAACCGACGCTAAATCGAGACGAGTCGACGCTGAATCGGCGCGTTCTCATCGATTTCCAGACGCCAGCGCATGCTCGTGCTCCCTAAAGACGGAATTGCGAGGGCATGCGAGGCTCCCACGTGTTGCTACCGAACGAAGCGGTGTGGGGGCAGACGGTGCGGTGACCTCGCACTCCCCAGGCACCTCGCCGCACGGTCCGTCTCCGCACGGTTTCGGAACCTCTCGGGCCCCAGCCGCCTGGGATATCCTCGGAGAGCGACCCACGTCCCCAAAACGTGCGGCCAACCCGCGTCCCCACTGACTCACCACACCGTGTGGTCACCGCACCGCCTGGGGACCCACGACACGAGGGGGCGGAGACTTGTGCTGCTAGAGGAATCTCTGAGATCCCGCGGATCTGGAGGATGCATTGGGCACCGCGGCCGCTCCCTGGAAATCTTGGGGACACCTTGGGTCACAGACACCTGTTGCAAGACCTGGAGGTGGGGGAAGGAGGGCGCGAGGATGGGGGAGGGAACAACCAACACCGAATCGCAAAATTGGATCGGACCAGAACATGCGTCGAATCGGGCCGCATCGGCACGGAATCGGAATCGAATCGAATCGCCCGCGCCAGCGAGCTGGCTGGAATCGACATCGAATCGCAAAGGGAGAGGGGAAGACGGGGAGGAGGGGAGGATGGGGGAGGAGAAAGGGATGATGACGATGCCTGTCCTGCTCTCTCCTGTCCCGGCTGGCTCTCGTGACGTAGTCTGGAGCATGCTATCCGATCGAACATAACGTCCGCCACCTTGAACCCTGGCCGCTGGGGCATGGTATTCTGCCGAGTGCTATCTGGTACGGCTTCTGTGTGAGTCCTACCTTCTGCAGGCCTCCCTTAGCTGTTTTGCTCTCCAAGAAATCCTTGCACTGATTGGTTCTTGCTCCGCTCGTAATGGGCTGGGCGAGAATCCTGATGTTTCTGCCCGTCGCGCCGTGTTTTCGCTCCATCGCCGCCCCGTTGCCGTCACGTTTCAGCTTCGTTGTTTTGGTATGCATTTGTTAGCTCCTGCTCCCTTCCTCCGTCTTTTTCATTGGTTCCGCGCAAACAGCGGCAGACCCGCGGCGAGCGCGCGCGAGAGTGAGACACGACGAGGGGCACCAGGGAGCCTAACTTTGCTTCACCTTTGTGAATCCGAGTTTGCACTGCAGTGTGTCGATGTCATTGGTGCTGCTTTGGACTGGTTTACTCCGTTTTACGCTGCTTGGCATTGCCTTCATTGATTTGCACTGGTCTGCATTGCTTGTGAACATTTGCATTGCTGGTGCTGATTTGATTCGAATTGCGTCGACTTGCGATGCTCTGCATGGTTTTGACTTCGCGCTGTGTTTGTCCCTGCATTCCTTGCACTGGTGTGCATTCCGTTGCATTGGCGTGCGTTCCCTTGCATAGCTTTGTTTTGCTCTGTATTGCAATGCGGACACCGTTTCGCATTGCTTTGCATTGTTTGGCCATGCTTTACATTGCGCTGCTTTGAATTGCTTTGCATTGCCTAGCATTGCTCGTGCTCGGCACTACTTCACTGGTTGGGTCCACGCTGGAATCATGTGAGTCCTTCCCACACGGTGCCGGAGTGGGGTGCTCAAGAGGGCCGCAAGACGGATCCAGAATGGCCAATCAACTTCGCATCCCGTCCAAATCGTGCTCGCGCTCCGTTCTGCCGTAGGACAATCGCATCTGCTCGCGAAGGCCCAGCCGGTAGCTCCGCAGTGGCGCAGCATCGCCGTGCCGCCGCCCGCGCACAACGACGCCACCTGAATCTGCGACCACTTGCGAACCCTACCCGTACAGGTCCAACCGACTCTGGGGGATCGGACACCTCCTCGTTGGGGTTCACCTGGCTGCAGACGCTCTTGAAGCTCTGAGCCCCGGCAAATGTTTCAGAAACCTGACCTGTGAGATTCGGGTTCACAAGTGGTTGCCCATTGAATTCAAAAAAAAACCTGCCCCACCCTTGAATATCTACGGCTGCGGTCATCGGGTATTTGCTCCAGCTATCTGCTACGACCTACGTACGCGTGAAGACGTACTCTCGTCCCCGCCCACCCCACGCAAAATACGCCTCCTCTCCACTCTGCCCCTCCCCTCTTCCTGACCCTCCTCTCCCCCCTCCTCCTCCCCCTCCTCCTCTTCCTCCTCTTCCTCTCCTCCTCCTCCTCCTCCTCCTCCTCCTCCTCCTCCTCCTCCTCCCTCAACCTCCTCCTCCTCCTCTTCCTACCTTGCCTCCTCCCCCTCCTCCTCTTCCCCCCCTTCCCCCCTTTTCCCCTCCAGTCCCTCCTCCTCCTGGCTCCCCCCCTCCCCCGATGCCTCCCTGACTCCCTCCCCCTCCGCCGCCTTTCCCGCCTGGTGATGGGGGGGGGGGGCACGAGGAGCGCGGGCAAGGAGGGGGGATTGGATTGGCCGACTGCTAGGACGAGTTCGTCCAAGGCCGATGCGCAGAAGTTGTGCTGCGCGGGGTCTTACTGAGCCTATGCATCATATCAGCGACCCATTCTATAGACCAGCGCCCACCGGCCATCCGAATCTGGCAAAAGTTCGTCTGGTCGACGACATCGATGACGAAGCTGGCGGCTGTATGGCGTCCCCGCCGGCCGCCGTCGAAGCGCAGACGCAGCCGAAGCTTCGTCCTCGTCCTCGCCTGCCTCGGCTGGGTGATCCCTGGCGTTGCTGACGAAGGTATCCTTGCGCTCTGTGAGTGCCTGGGTGGCCCAGTGGTCCGCCTCCCGATTGCCCTCCCGTCGTTCGTGGCGGAATCAACCAGCACCAGCGTGGGCGATCTGTATACTTGTCTTGCGTGCTGCACGTGGTGCAGCGCGTGCTGGGTATTTGCACTGTCCCCTGCACCATTTCGGTGCTTCTCTGCTGCGCCACGCTGGACCGCCACGCTGGACCGCCCACTGGGCCGCTCTGCGCTGCTAACCCGGCTTCTGCACTCTTCGGTGCTCCCCTCCTTCCCCGGCAATCCCGCGCTGCCTCCTCCCGTTGCGATGCGGTTCCGCCCCGCCGCCTGCGGGCGCCTGGGACGCTTCGCCCGCCGCCTCCTGCCCCACCTCTCCCGGCCCCCTGGCCACCCGGCGCGCACCGGGCCGCCGCGCTACCCGTCACTGCCTCTGCTCTGCTCCCGCTGCCGCGCGGTTCCGTGCCGTGCCCACTCCTCGGGCGCGCCGTGGTGTGGTACCTCTGCCGTTCGTGGTGCCCCTCTGCGCCCGCCCGCCCGCTCCAGCTGCTGGCAGCCGCCCTCCCGCCACCCTTGCCACCGTGGTTCGCCACGGCCGCCCACCGCGCGCTGGCCCTGCGCGCCTGGCTGCTGCTGCCCCCCCCCCCCCCCCACGCTGCTCATCGTCGAACTCTTCGACGTCTGAGCGTCCATTCTTCCTCTCGGCCGTCCCCTCCCCCTCTCTCTGCCCGCCGGCCAATTCGCTAGTTAGTGCCCCTGTCTATCTTCTCGCTGGAGCGGAGTTCGCCGACTCGCCGCTGACGAAATTATCCCGGCAAAGCAACCTAACAGCCATGTGTAGGAGCATCTCTGGGTCGAACAGCATGTCGATGTATCATATGCACTAACTTAAAGCGGGCGCGTTACGTTAGGAGGAGGGATCGAGGAGAGGAGGCCGGCGAGGGGGGGGCTGTGCCCATCCGAGGGAACGGGGCAGCCCCCCCCGCCCCAAAAAATGTTTCGGCCTCTCAAGGCCCCCCCCGCTCCACGAATCCCATTGGGGGGTCGAGATCCCCGCTCTGCAGTGGGATTCGCGGAACGGGGCGCCCCCCAGGTGCTTGTTATCTTCGCGCTGGCGCCGGCAGTGTGCACCTGAGGGAGCGCGGGTTGAAATGAGTGAGGGATCAGGAAGGATGTGGAGGGGCGTTCCGCTCTGAAGCGTCCTCACAATCTGGCAAAACCGCAACCCCTCCCCGGGGGCACCGCGCGTGCTGGACCAGGCACATGCGTCGCCCTAAGTCGGCGCGCACATATGAGAGGCCCATGTTTGTGTGTCTGTCCCCCAGGAAGGCCCGACATGGCGAGCAGAAGACCCGAATAATTAGTCCGGTGTGTCTGTCCCCCAGGAAGGCCCGACATGGCGAGCAGAAGGCCCGAATAATTCGTCCGAGGGGCTCCCCAGAGGGGCTCCCCAAAAGGGCGCAGGGAGCCTTCCTCAGAGCCCTGGTGCGCACGACCTTGGCCGAAGGCCATCATATATGCAAGTACAACAGTTCATGCAGGAATCTCTTGTGCATGTGCTGGTGCCACTGCTGCGAGCAGGCAGTGGAACGAGCGAGGAAGGGGTATCAACCTTGACCGCCCGCCCCCGCCCCCTTCCCTTGACCGCGCTCCGCGGCCGGGCGCAAGCGCGGCCGGTCGGGGCAGCCGGCCGGGGCAGCCGGCCGGGGCAGCCGGCCGGGGCAGCCGGCCGGGGCAGCCGGCCGCCCTCCCCTCCTGCTCGTCCTCCTCCTCCTCCTCCTGCTCGTCCTCGTGCTCCTCCTGCTCGTCCTCTTTCTCCTGCTCCTCCTCCTCCTCCTCCTCCTCTTTCTCCTGCTCCTCCTCCTCCTCCTCCTCCTCTTCCTCCTGCTCGTCCTCGTTCTCGTCCTCCTCGTCTTGCTCGTCCTCCTCCTCCTGGTGCTCTCTCCTCCTCCTCCTCCTCCTCCTCCTCCTCCTCCTCCTCCTCCTCCTGGTGGTCCTCGTTCTCCTCCTCCTGGTGCTCTCCCCCCCCCTCCTCCTCCTCGTCCTCCTCCTCCTCCTCGTCCTCCTCCTCCTCTCCTCCTCCTCCTCCTCCTCCTCCTCCTGGTAGTCCTCCCCCTCCCCTCCTCCTCCTCCTCCTCCTCTCCTCTTCCTGGTCGTCCTCGTTCTCGTCCTCCTCGTCTTGCTCGTCCTCCTCCTCCTGGTGCTCTCCTCCTCCTCCTCCTCCTCCTCCTCCTCCTCCTCCTCCTCCTCCTCCTCCTGGTGGTCCTCGTTCTCCTCCTCCTGGTGCTCTCCCCCTCCCCTCCTCCTCCTCGTCCTCCTCCTCCTCCTCTCCTCCTCCTCCTCCTCCTCCTCCTCCTCCTGGTAGTCCTCCCTCCTCCCCCTCCCCTCCTCCTCCTCCTCCTCCTTCCTGGTCGTCCTCCTCCTCCTGGTCGTCCTCCTCCTCCTGCTCGTCCTCCTCCTCCTCCTGCTCGTCCTTCTTCTCCTGCTCCTCCTGCTCCTCGTCCTGCTCCTGCTCGTCCTCGTCCTCCTGGTCTTGCTCGTCCTCCTCCTCGTCGTGCTCTTGCCCCTGCTGAAAATGTGGCCCAGGAATGGGAGTTCTGGGAAGTCGAAGAGCACGAAGTTGCCTACAGTTGGCTACGGGCATTCAAAATGTGGCCCGGGAATGGAGTTCTGGGAACTCGAAGAGCACGAAGTGGCCTACAGTTGGCTCCGGGCATTCAAAATGTGGCCCGGGAATGGAGTTCTGGGAACTCGAAGAGCACGAAGTGGCCTACAGTTGGCTCCGGGCATTCACAATGTGGCCCGGGAATGGAGTTCTGGGGACTCGAAGACCACGAAGTGGCCTACAGTTGGCTCCGGGCATTCAAAATGTGGCCCGGGAATGGAGTTCTAGGAAGTCGAAGAGCACAAAGTGGCCTACAGTTGGCTCCGGGCATTCAGAATGTGGCCCGGGAATGGAGTTCTGGGAAGTCGAAGAGCACGAAGTGTGTGACTGTTGGCTTAAAACGACTTCTGCGGCACCCTGTCCGGCACCCGCCCAGACCCCCCTGTGGAGTCATCTGCTGCTTCCTTTTGACACCACTAGAAACCTATCAGAACAAGCTGTTAGGTAAAAAGTGTGTTAGGGAATTGCCACGCGTGCACGATATGGCCAGTGGTCGCAATCGACCTTCCGCAGTCCAGCAGGCGAAAATCCTGACGAAAACGCACAATGCTCTGCTTGGCCAACCGCCAGGCGAACTGGGTTTGGGCTGGCAGGAATTATGCAGCAACACAACGTTCCTTCCCCCCTACCCTTCTCCTCCTCCTCCAGCTCTTCCTCCGACTCTTTTCCCTCTCTTTCTCCCTCCCTCTTCCTCTGCTAAGTCCTCCGCCTTCTCCTCCTGCCTTGTCGTCCTTTTCACCGTCGACGTATCTCAAAAGCTTGGGCAGCCTACCTGGGCATGCTCATCCAGACGGACAGGTTCATAGTCAAGTAGAGCAAGAGTGTGGGAACAGAGTTCAACGCCCATATCCACCATCCTCCTACGCCAAGCTTCCACAGGAGGGGAAGGGTCAGGAGGAGAGGGGGTAGAGACGATGAAGGGGTAGAGAAGAGGGGGAGGTCAGGAGGAGAAAAAGAACGCGGACAGGATGAGGAGGGCCAGGAGGACGCCGAGGATAATGAGGAACGAGGGGAGAAGCATGTGAAGGACGAGAGGATAAAGAGCAACATAACCAACGACAACATAATTTTGAGGAGGACGACGACGGTGACGGGGACCAGGAGAAAGAGAACGAAGGGGGAGGGCTAAGGTGAAGAAGACGAGGAGGCGAGCGGACGGCGAAGGACATGCGCCCTTTGAGTCCCACCAACCACGCACTGCGCCGAAACGGCTCGTCGCGGCTCAGCACCGCCTGTTCACGCACCCCCGCGGCGCTTCGCAACAGGCTCGTCGTCTCGGCTAGGACCTGAAAAGGAAACCAGAGATGACCGCATTTGGATTCAACGACTCGGTGGTTAGTGCGATGGTTATTGCTGCTGTCTGCGTGCGCAACTACACGCTACCCATACGAGCCTGACCACCAATTCGTATACTGCATGGCGCTTGGCCAACTTTGCAGACGGTCCACGCAGCATCCCCGCCCGCTGACCACGATTTGGGATTACGTCGTGGTGGTTAGGATTCGAGGAGGGAGGCAGGGAGGAGGACGAGGGGAGAGGGAGGAGGGGGAGGCAGGAAAGAGGAGAAGGGAGGAACAGGAGGCGGGACGGAGGTAGGGAGGGAGGGAGGGAGGGAGAGAGGGAGGCGAAGAATCCAAGGCTCCAGGGCTGGCTGTGTCTCTGGGCCCCTTTGGGATCTACCTCTCTGGGCTGCGACATCCGAGCCCTGCCCCAACCAACCATCGATTCATCTGAACCGATGCGAGGCGGGGGGGGGGTAAGGTCCGGAACGAGAGTCGCGCGTTCGCCGAATTCTGGACCCTGCCCCCTCCGCCCATCGACTTGCCTGAATCGTGGATCGGCGAGGCTAGCTTTTGGATCGCGCCGCCGATTCTCCCCCCGAGGGACCGCGCCGTTTCCCACCGGCACCCCGCGCCGCCGGCTCGCCCTCAGGGCCGCCCCCAGAGCGCAGCGGCCTCGCGCCCCCGCGCCGCAGCCCGCCGAACACGGCCCGAACCTCGGGGAGGGGGGGGGCGCTCCTCGCCGTGAGCGCCCCTCCCCTCCATCTCCGCCCTCTCGCTGCGACATCCTTCCTCCTCCTCCTCCTCCTCCTTCTCCTCCTCCTCCTCCTCTTTTCTCTTGCGGGGGGGGGCAATGAAACGGCGTCAAAATTACACTCGACATCTGCACACATCGAAGAAATACGATATATATATATATATATATGTGTATATATATATATAGATGTGTGTATATATATATATAGGTATATATATCTATATCTATATATACTAGAACCATCGCGCGCGCTTCGCGCGCGCTCCTCAAGTTCTAGCTAGGATCATCGTCATCGTCATCATCGCCATCCTCATCACCATCATATCCGGCGTCATCGTCAGCGGCATCGTCATCATCACCATGACCATCACCATCATCACAATCGTCACCATCACCACCATCAGCAGCAACATCGTCATCACCATCGTCATCATCGCCATCGTCGTCATCATCGTCAATATCGTCACCTGAATTATCAACATAATCATCCTCATCATCGCCATCGTCATCATTATCGTCGTCGTCGTCGTGATCGTCGTCATCGTTATCGTCATCATCGTCATCATCTTCATCATCCGCCCACTCCTGCATCACAAGCACCATAAACAGCATCGCCACCATTTTTATCAGCATCGGCGTTATCATCCTGACCATCAGCAGCATCATCATAATGATCGTCAACATCACCATCCTCAACGGCATCACCGTCATCGTCATCATGATCGTCAGCATCACCACCATCATCATCACCACCATCACTCACATCACGATCACCATCATCAACATCATCATCATCAGCATCAGCATCACCATCATTCCCACTGTCAACATCATCATCATAATCTTCTTCCTCCTCCTCCTCCTCCTCCTCCTCCTCCTCATCATCATCATCATCATCATCATCATCATCATCGTCGTCGTCAACTTCATATTGTCGTCATCATCGTCATCATTTTCGTCACCGTCGTCTCCGAAGCTCCCCCGCCGAACTCGAGGATATCTCCGCAGCGTCTTGCATGCCGCGTGAGCAGTATTGGGGATTTAGGTTGTGGGCCTGAGGCCGCCCTGCATAATCATCATTGTCATTATCACCAGCGTCTGGAAGCCTTGCGGGGCCCTTTCGGCGCCTTTTGGAGGCCTCTTGGAGCTTCCTGGGGGCCTCTCGAGGCCTCTTGCGGACTCCTGGGGGCCTCTTGGGAGCTTCTGGTGGGCGAGGGCTCGAAATGTCAGTTCGTGTTCCCCATCTGGGGCTCCTCTTGGAGTGTTCTGGGAGCTCTTTTGGGCCGTCTTGGAAGCTTCCTGGGCCGTCTTGGGGCCCTCTTGGGCTGTCTCGGTGGTCTCTTGGGGGCCTCTGGGCTCGTCTTGAGGCGATCTTTCGGGCCTCTTGGGCCGCCTTGGAGCGTCTGGAAGCCGAACTGGGGAGAACGCCCAAACCCTTCAAAACCCACTAAAAATCAGTGACAATTTCCTATTGGGCCCCTCCCGGGAGTGCTGTCGGAGACCTGCTGGGACGCTTTGGCAGCTTTTTAACCGTCTTGGAGTGCTCCCGGGCCGCTTCGGACCTCTCTTGGGCTGTCCTGAGGGCGTCCTGGAGCCATTTTAGAGGGTCCTGGGAGCGTCCTGGCGTCTCCGGCGGGGGGGTGACCACAGCCACTGGGCAAAGTGAGGCCCCCCCCTGGTCCAGGACCCCCTCCCCATTATATATATATATATATATATACATACATACATACATATACATATACATACATACATAATACATATACATATACATACATACATACATATATATATATATATATATATAGAAACATACGTAAAACATGTAGGATTGTGTACACAGGAGAAGGACAATCTATAGAAACATACGTACGTCGTCCAAGGCGCCTCGGAAGGCGCAGAATACTCCTCCAAGGCGCGGAATCATGTTCCCGGACCGCCTTCCGGGAACATGATGGGGACGACCTCCTGAGGGCCTCCAGTGGGCCTCTTGGGGGCCTCTCGGAGGCCTGTTGGGCTCTCCTGGAGGCGTCTTGGGGCGCGCTCAGGGCCATTTTTGGGCATCTTGGGGGCCTCTGGGGGCCTCCGGGGAGGCTCTTGGGGGCCTCTTTGGGGCCTCGCGGGGCCCTCTTGGGGACCGCTTAGGCAGTCTTGAAGCCCTGTCGGGGCTCTCCTGGAACCGTCTTGGGCGGCTCGTGGGCCATCTTGGGGCTCTCCTGGGCCGTTTTGGGACGATTTTTGGGGTCTCTTGGAGCGTATTGGTGCGGTCTTGGGGGCCTCTTCGGCCGTCTTGGAGCGGTTTTGGGAGACTCTTGGACGGTCTTGGAGCGTCGGAACCCCGAAAAAGCGAGAAGGCCAAAAACCTCAAAGAAAAACATAAAAATCAACGATTTTGGCTTGTCGGGGCTCTCTTGGGAAGCCTCTTGGGATGCCTTCGGGGCCTCATGGAGCTCTCTTGGAACGTCTTCGGGCCTTCCTGGCCATTCCTGAGGCTATCTATGCGCGTCTTGGAGCGCTCGCGGGCTGTCTTGGGCGGTCTCGAACTGTTCCTGGCGGTCCCAGGGGCCCTCCGGGACGCTTCGGACGCTCCCGGGGGCGCCCTGCACCCCCCATGGAGATTACAGGCAGCGCCCCGGGCCGCCCCCGAGCCCTACTCCGATATATATATATATATATATATATATATATATATTTATTTATATGTATTTATTTATTTATTTATTTATATATATATATATATATACTAGTGTGGACCCGTGGATTACATCCACGGAGTTGCGCGGATCGAAGTTTGGTTGCGAGTGCTGGGTTGTGCGACGCTGCCAGCTACTGCCGTAGATCCTGTGAAGCTTGCTCTGGTGCTGTTCCCCCACTGAGCGCCGCCAATGCACCGAAGCGGGGGCCGAAGTGTTCGAGCTTCGCAAGAGGCAAAAGTTCAAGAGACCAAGCCAGAGCAGCGTTGGAAGATCTGCGTCGGGATCGCGGCGGACGCGGGAGCGGGTCGGGTCAAACGCGGCGCCGTCTCGGGCCGCGTCGGAAGCGTCGGAACGGCGTCGCGGCAAAATAGGGAGCGCAGACGGGCAGCGCCAGGGCCACGGGAGTGTAAAACATTGTTCTTTTGCGCCTGCGAAGGGCCTCTCGCCTCTCGTCCGCCCCTCTCTCTTGGAGGCAGTTTTGAAGCCTCTAGGGGGCCGTTTGGGAGCTCTATGGGGGCTCTTTTGGGCCTCTTGGGGGCTCCTCGGGGCCCTCTTGGGCCGTGTATGGCGCCTCTTGGGCCGTCTTGGGGCCGTCTTGGGCCACCTTGGGCGCCACTTGGGCCGTCTTGGGGCCATCTTGGGCTCTCTTGGGCCCCTTTTGGGCACCTCTTGGGGTCCTCTTGGGCCGTCTTGGGCGCCCCTTGGGCCGTCCTGGGGCCGTCTGAGCCATCTTTGGGCCCTCTTGGGGGCCGTCTTGGGCAATCTTGGAGGCCTCTGGGGCTGTCTCGGACACTTCGTAAAGGAAAATGTCGAATCTGTTGAAAATGTGCATTTTACGAAGGGAATGTGGCCATTTTTGCTTGATGGAGCCCTCCTGGGGGAGCCCTCGGACCCCCCCGAAGCCGTCCGGGGGCGTCTTTGGGGCGTATGGGGCCGTCTGGAGAACATCTTGGGCCGCCTGAAAGCCGTCTTGGGTCGTCTCGGGGCCTCCGTAAGCCGTCTTGGGTTTTTCTGGGGAACTCCGACGCCGTTTCGGACCCCTCCGGGGGCCTTCCGGTGCTGTTTTGGAGCCCCCGGGAGGCTCGGGGAGCCGGGGGCCCACGCAAACCCACAAGGCCTAATTCGAATTTATTTGAATGGGTATATATATATATATATATATATATATTATAATATATATATCTCTCTCTCTCTCTCTGACCTGCCAGAGACGAGCGACGGATAGCCCCCGTGGGAGGAGCCCCGAATTTCCTTCGCCCGAGCTCGAGCGACTACAGATGACGAGCTTCTAGGAACTTGAAACGACTGGGGTGGACCCTTTTGGGCCCACGGCGACGATTTCAGGGCCATTTTAGGCCACATTCCTGCAATCCCCGCTGCCCCCCGCTCCGTTTTTATTGCACCGCGGGCCGAGCGCCCAATCCTGGAGCAGAGACCGATCGTCTCAGTTCTCCCATTGGCCTACCATGCAACATGTCTCCTTCGAATCCACAGCCAATGTGCTGAAACACTGCAGTCTCAGTCAGAAACGTTCTGAGAACGTCATGTGTCTAACGTACAAAGAACATGTTGTGAGAGCATTTCCTTGTGGGCCAACAGGAAGACCAAGACGCTTCGTCATTGCGTGATTTCCTCATCCCTCCTCCCCTCCCACATTCCTTAGTGCGGCTAACAGATCCGGGAATCCAGAAATACACACTTTCAACGATCGGTGTGAAATCCCGCCTCTGGGTCCATCTCCTCCTCCCCCCCGTCTCTCCATCCCTTCTTCTTCACTCCTCCTCGGCGCGGGCGGGGGCCTGCCGCCCTTGTATCTTGGGGCGGACACATGGGATCAGATCACGGCAGAAAAGCAGACGTTCGGACGTCCGCGCGGATTTCTCGGGTCGGCGCTGCCCCACCTCAAACTGCGCGCGGAGCGCGCCAAGGTCGGCGCTGGAGGCGCCGCGAGGGGAGTCCAGCACCGACTCGAGAACTCCCTGCGGACCTCCGAGAATCAACTTCTGCATAGATGTGCATTGTCTCATTCAAATTACGGTTATTACTCGCCTTATTCGTCGTATTGTTATGCTATTATTACTAATACTGTTTTCGTTATTAGTAATCGCCTTACTACTATTATTGTGATACGTAGTGCCATTATTATTGTTACTCTTCTTATTTTTGTTGTTCTCATAAGTTAAGAATTGTTCGTGTTATCAATACTCGTTCTCATTCGTACTAGTATCAATATTACTAATTCTTTAAACGCTATCGTCTTTATGGTTATTATTTCTCTTATTCGGAATCGTGTCATACCTAGTGTTGCTAGTGTTGTTGTTGTTGTTGTCCTTGGTGTGATTATGGTTGTTGTTGCTGTTCGGTAAGGCGTTGACACCGGCCCCGGCTTGTTGTTGAGATCTTCTTCTTCTCTCAGAACTCAAGTGCTTATCCTCAAGGGTAAGCAAAGCTCCAGCAACCGAAGGCTTGCCCCACGGGGCCGGAGAAGGGGTAGTCACTGGGGCGGCAGCGCAAGGTGCCCCACGGGGCCGGAGAAAGGGTCGGCAGTCCTGGCGCGTTTCCAAAGGTTTCCCCAAGATTTCCGCGAATTCCTCCAGATTCCTTTGGATTCCTGTGGACCCCTCCAGACTCTCTAAGATCTCCAAGGAATCCCTAGGACCCCCCAGGATTTCTCGGGATCCCTCAGGAGCCATTCCGCGGGACCCCCGAGGATTCTTCAAGATCTTCCAAGATTCCTCAGGCTCCTTCCAGAGTCCCCAAGATTCCTCAGGATCGGGGCTCAAGAGACGGGGGTCGGTGCAAACGGGGGTCAGCCAGGGCACCGGATCCTGCAGGATCCTGTGAAGACCCCCTCTGGCTGACCCGGGTTAGCGAGCCGCTCGTGGCCGCGAGGCGGCCGCGCATATTGGCCGACCCGGGTTTACGAAGACCTGCGCTGCATTTTTGTTCATGTATTTCAGTTTTTTGGTTTCCCGCTGACCCGGGTTGGATTGGCCCGGGTCAGAAGATCCCCGACAGGATCCCCCAGTAATCCTTGGGATCCCAAATGATTCTTCAAGATCTCCCCATGGGGTTCTTTCTCAGGATTCCGTTGGGCTCCTGAGGAGTATTCAACATATCTTCGAATTCTTCAGGACCCCCAAGGATTCCTCAGGACACTTCAGGATTCCTCAGGATCCACCATGTCTCCTCAGGACGCCTACGGACTCATTGGGATTCCCCATGGTTCCTCAGGATTCCCGCAGGGTACTTTAGTAGTGGAAACAATTGGTTTTCAAAATGTGTGGTCTTCAGAAGCTCTGCGAGGCGACGCCCCCGTCGCCACGCGTGCCCTCTGCGTGCCTGCGGGGGCGCCGCCGCGTAGAAGTACTGGAGACCGAGCATTTGGGGCGTCGCTACGCACGCCCTCTGCGTGGCTGCGACCATTTTTTTAAACCCAAAAACCAATTAAATTCACTAATGAAGTACCCTTCAGGATTCCTCATTATTCCTTATCCTCAGGGGCTCCTGAGAGCTCCCCAGGGGTTCCTGAGGATCCCCTAAGGGGTCCTGAGGACCTCACCCCCCCTCCTCCCCCCAAGGGGTCCTGAGGATGCCCTCGGGGCTCCTGGGGATGCTCTGAGGATTCCTGAGGATTCCCTCGGGGTTCCTGGGGGTTCTTTAAAGATTCCTGGGGATTCCCTCTAAGGGTTCCTGAGGATTCCGTGATTCCATCGGGATTCCTGAGGATGCCCTGGGGGGTCCTTCGGAGTCCCTAAGGGGTTCTGGAGGATTCCCGATGGGGTTCCTTTGAAGATTCCCTAGGCATCCTTTAGGGTTCCCTAGGGATTCCTGCGGATCCCCTATGGGGGTCCTGGAAATTCTTTAGGGGGTCCTGAGGATTCCTTCTGGGTTCCTGAGGATCCCCTACGGATTCCTGAGGATTCCCGAGGGGTCCTGGGGATTCCCTAAGGGGCTCTTGACGACATCCTCAGCATTCTGGAGGATTCCCGAAAGGGGTTCCCTTGAGCTTTCCCGAATGGGGCTCCCGAGGGTCCCTCAGGAACTTCTGAGGATCCACTATAGAGGATGTCCTGGGGATCCGCCGCCGCCGCCGCCGCCGTCGTCGTGAGGGTCCTTGAGGGAGTCTTTAGCTTTCGTCAGGGGTTGCGAAGGTCCCTGAGGGTGTCTTGGCTGCACACGGGGCCGGAGAAGGGGGTAGCGCACGGGGGGCGTTTTCTGTGGAGGGAACAGCACAGATGACGGTGCACACAGGGCTGGAGTGTATGTTTGCCCACCGCGGCGCGACACCGCCGCTGATGGCCTCTCGCAGGGCCGGAGAAGTTGTCGTCACACAGCGTCTCAGGACGGGGCCGGAATGTGCGCCCGTCCACCGGGGGAATGACACCGGAGGCTCCGGCCCTGCCCGGGGCCGGAGTGTACGCCTTTCCGTTGCTGTTGAACTCTCATTCTTGACGAATAATTATTGTTGATCCCCCCCCACCGGTGCACATTGATTTTTTTCGATTGAAGTGCCACCCCCGGGGCTCGCACCTTGTTTTTTCTCAAGGAAAGTCTTCCTGCTCAAACTGTGCCCCTGCCCCCCGGGCTACAACAACAACGGCTCCCGCCTGAGACTTCCCTGATTTTTACTCAGGACCCCCGCTCCCGCTTGAGACTTCCGCGCAATTTACTCAGGAAAGGCGCTCCCGTCTGAGACTTCCTCGCAGTGTAATCAAGACCCAAGCTCCCGCCTGAGACTTCCGTGCAATTTACGTGGGAACGGCGCTCCCGCCTGAGACTTCTTCGAATTTTACTCAGGACCCCCGCTCCTGCCTGACATTTCCGCGCAATTGACTCAGGAACGGCGCTCCCGCCCGAGGCTTCCTCGCAATTTAGTGAGGACCCCCGCTCCCGCCTGAGACTTCCGTGCAGTTTGCTCAGGAACGGCGCTCCCGCCTGAGGCTTCCTCGCAACTTAGTCAGGGCCCCCGCCTCCGCCCGAGATTTCCTCACAATGTACTCAGGACTGCGCTCTCGCGTGCGACGTCCTCACAAATTATTCTGGAATTGCGTTTCGGCGCTCAGGAACCACGCACGCGCCAAGGACGCCTTCACAACGTGGTATCTTCCCTCTTCCTTCGTCCTTCCCCCTCCCCTTCCTCCCACTCTCCCTCGTTCTTCCCCTCCTCCTCTTGCAGGGCCCGCGCCAATTCCAATGGCGGGCAGAGAGATGTACGCCCCCGAAGGATTGTCCGCCCGTTCCGGTTTGCCCGTACGTCTAAGCCCGCCGGCCCCAGCAAAGAGAAATAATCCCCCCGAAAGGGGTGTGATCGAAGACGAAGAGGGCGGGTATCGAGGGTGTAGGGTATACCTTTTGAATGACTCGCGGGCAAGTAAGAGCGTACAGCCTTAAAATGGTTGTTGTTGTTGTTGCTGTTGTTATTATTCGCATTCTCATTCGTATGAGTAGCATTATTATGATTGTTCTACTTCCCCAATTCGGCTTTCGCTAAGGGTTTATCCTTGGTTCCTTGGCCTTACTTCCTTGCTGCCTTTCTGGGGATCCTCGGTCTTGGTTCTGTGGTTCCTTGGTCTTGGTTCCTTGCTGCCTCGCAATGCCGCGCAATGCAAAACAATGCAACACAAAACCAAACAATGCCAAGCAATGTAACGCAATGCCAAGTGACGCCCAGCAATGTCAATCAATGCCACGCACTGCCCAAACAATATGCCAAGCAGCGTCAAGCAATATGCCAAGCAATCTGCCGAGCAACGCGCCCATGCAATAGAAAACTTTCCCCTAATTGGGGTCGCGCCGATCGCATGCCTCTTCTCCGAGCACCAGGTCGAGCAACTGGTTTTCTGGGCGCCTCCTAGCGAGACCGAAACCAGCTGAGAGAGGCAATTTCCGCATCCCCCTTTCCCAATTCGCCATTTCGTTCGACCCGAGTTCCCCCTCTGGGGGGCGGGGAATGGGGGAATGATCAATCAGCATCGAATCTGGAAATCGAGTCGAATCGGAGTGTGCGTCGGATCGGGCTGCATCGGCATGGGACCGAGGACGACTCGGATCGGCTGCGCCAGGATGCGCGGCAGCGCCATGCACGCATCGGGCCGCATCGGGTCGTTGGAACACCGGATTCGAATCGGACTGATTCGGCCGCAGTCGACATCGACTTGGATCGATCGGAACGACATGGACCCTGAGCGGTGGGCCCCAAGTTAGCGTTCCGGGGGTCCCTCTTAGAGCCATGCCGTTCTGCGCGTACTGGTCGTACACGACCCCCGTGTACCCGAGCACCATGAGCTGGTGGTCCCAGTTGAGGATGTAGAACGACCCCCCAGCGCCCCCCCAGTGCAGGGTGCCCACCTGGGAAGTGGACGGGGAGGGGGAGGGGGGGGAAAGAGGATGACCACACAATGACACACATCAACATACACATCAACCGTCGAAAATGCAGGGGGGGGGTCCAACGCCGACCCGAGACATCCACACGAATCTCCGATAGTTTATGCTTACGCAGCTTGCTGTTTCATCTCTCTTCGAGAGGCAAGGCCAGGGGAAGAAGACCCGCTTGTGCCGCACTCGTGCCCGCGCCCGCCTTGGGGCCTGGGTTGTGCCTGAGAAGGGGGGAAGGATGAGGACCATTCGCTGGCCCAACGGGCTAAGGGCATGCTAAGATCTCCAGTAACTGGTTAACAGTAGTTCTAGTTCTCGCCCGAGGGGCCGCCCCTGGGGGTCCCTGGACGAAGAAAAACCCGGCAAGGTCCCCGGGCAAAGTCCCCGGGCTGGTCCCCGCGAGGTCCCTGCCAGGTCCCAGCAGGCTCCGAAGAGCGCTCCGGGAGCTCTTCAAGTGGCCTCCAAGAGAGCTCAAAGAGCGATCCAAGACGCCAAAGATGGCCTCCAGAGCGATCCAAGAGCGATCCAAAGTGGTACGAGACGGTCCAAGAGCGATCCAAGACGCCAAAGATGGCCTCCAGACAGCCCAAAGCGCCTTCAAGACGCCCCAAGAGGCCTCCAAGAAACCTCTCAAGAGGGCCCACCGGGGCAGAACTTGGTGATTTTCCTTTAGATTTGGATGATTTTTTGCGTTCTCGCCTTTTCGGCTTACTGGCGCTCCAAGACGGCCCAGGAGGCTTCCAGGATCGCTCCAACACGGCCCAAGAGGCCTCCAAGAGCACCCGAATCGGCCCCAGAGGGTCCCAATTCCCAGAGGCCTCCGAGATGGCCGAAGTAGCTCCCAAGACGGCTCAAAGAGCAGGCCCAGACGGGGGACCCGAACAGAGATTTCGAGCTCTAGGCGCAGAGAGGTCCCCTGGAGGCCCCAAGAGGCCCCCAAAAAGCCCCCAAGAGGCCCCCGAGAGGCCCCAAGAGACCCCAAAGAAGCCCCCGTGACGCCACAGAAATTTTGTTAAAAGGCCCAACATGATCGACCCACGAACCTGGAAAGGAATATCTAAATGTAAGGTATGGCAACGTTTCAGAGACACCTGATTGGGCGACGGGCAAATGCAATGCTGAATGTATCGATCTTGATGTACCGTGCCGAGGGCTGTGCTGTTGTGCGCCGTGCTTAATTGCGACGTGCCATGCCGCGGTTGTGCTCTATAGCGTCGTGGATCGAGTCCTCCTTTGCATCCGAGTTCTGACCGAACTGATCTGGATCTTAAGCTCGAGCTGCCTCAGCACATAGTAGCTGCCCCAGAGCTAATTGACAGGGAGACATGCTAAGAGGACGCGCCGCAGAACGTCCCAAGGGACGCGCCAGGCGACGCGCCAGGGGACGTGCCATGGGGACGCACCGCGGGACGTGCCAAAAGGACGCGCTACGGAACGTGCCAATGGACGTGCCACGGGACATGCTAGGGGGCGCGCCGCGCGACGTGCCAGGGGGACTCGCTACGGAACGTGCCAAGTTGCAATGCTGAGTGTATCGATCTTGATGTACCGTGCCCAAGGCTGTGCTGTTCCGCGCCGTGCTTAATTGCGACGTGCCATGCCGCGATTGTGCTCTATAGCGTCGTGGATCGAGTCCTCCTTTGCATCCAAGTCCTGACCGAATTGATCTGGATCTTAAGCTCGAACTGTCTCAGCACATAGTAGCTGCCTCAGAGCTAATTGACAAGGGGACATGCCAGGAGGACGCGCCGCGGAACGTCCCAAAGGACGCGCCAAGAGACGTGCCAAGGGACGTGCCACGGGTACGCACCGCGGGACGTGCCAAAAAGACGCGCTACGGAACGTGCCAATGGACGTGCCACCTCATGCTAGACATCCGCCTGGGCGAACTGGACACGTGAAAACAACTGGTTCGCTCAAGACACCCTCAACACATCTTCATGTTAAACGTCCGTTCCAGGCCCCCAGGAAGGTCCCAGGAGGCCCATGTTAGATACTCCCCCCTAGGTGGCCTGGACAAACACCTGGTTCCGCCATGCGAAATACCCCTCTGGGCGGCATGGGTACGTAAAACCACGTGGTTCCAATTCGGGACAACCATGCCAAGAAAACATAACTTATCTTTACTGGGATGTGTGTTCGGGTAGCGCTTTTCGGCCCCCCGTGCGTTTCCTGATCATGCGGCGTTGGGCCCGACGCCATGTTAGATACCCCCTTCTGGGCGGCCTGGACACTTGAAAACACGTGGTTCCAGCTCGGGACGATCATGTTAGATACTCCACTGGGCGGCCTGGACACGTAAAAACACGTGGATCCAGCTCTGGGCAACCATGTCAGATACATCCCTGGGTGGCCTGGACACGTTAAACACGTGGTCCTTGCTCGGGACAACCATGTTAGATACCCCCCTGGGTGGCCTGGACACGTCCAAACACGTGGTGCCAGCTCTGGGCAACCATGTTAGATACACCCCTGGGTGGCCTGGACACGTTAAAACACGTGGTCCTTGCTCAAGAGAACCATGTTAGATGCACCCCTGGGTGGCCTGGACACGTCCAAACACGTGGTGCCAGCTCTGGGCAACCATGTTAGATACACCCCTGGGTGGCCTGGACACGTTAAACACGTGGTCCTTGCTCGGGAGAACCATGTTAGATGCCCCCCCTGGGTGGCCTGGACATGTAAAAATACATGGTGCCAGCTCGGGACAACCATGTTAGATACACCCCTGAGTGGCCTGGACACGTTAAAACACGTGGTCATTGCTCGGGACAGTCATGTTAGATATCCCCCTGGCCGACCTGGACATGTAAAAACACGTGTCTCCAGCTCGGGACGACCATGTTAGATATCCCCCTGCGTGGCCTGGATACGCTGAATTCGCGCTCCCGCTCGAGACATCCTCGCAATGTCTTCCCTGGAGAGGCCCCCAAAGCGCCACACCCTGTCCAGAACAAGAAAACATTACTTTTCTTTACTGGGATATGTGTTCGGGTAGCGCTTTTCGGCCCCCCGTGCGTTTCCTGATCATGCGGCGTTGGGCCCGACGCCATGTTAGATACCCCCCTGAGCGGCCTGGACACGTAAAAACTTATGGGTTCCAATTCGGGACATCCACTGGGTGGCCCGGACACGTAAAAACACGTGGTTCCAGACAACCATGTTAGATATCCCAGAGGGCCACTTTATATGTGCATACGTTAAAAACACACAGATTCGTGCCCCTGGAGAGGGCCAGTCTATGGGACCACATGTAAAAACAAATGCATTCGTGCCCCTGACCCAAATGTCTCCCGCACCCTGTGTTTTATCGATCGGAATTTCAACAACCAGTGGTTCGCTCGGGACATCCTCAACTTTGTAATTCGCCAGCCCTTCACGACCTTGTTATTTATCGCAAAATAGTTTCGCCGGCCCTACAGCCGTCGGGCCCGGGGGGAAACAGCTAAAAGAGAACCCTGGGCCCGAGCCCTTTCCGGGAAAAAGAGGCTCCAAGAGGCCTCTAAAAGGCCACGAACGCGAAGGCAAACGCCTACGATGGCACAATACGGGCCGGCGGAGTGAGCGAAGCGATTAATAAGGATGATGAGAGGAGGACCAGGATGAGTGGGAGGAAGGGAAGCAGGAATGAGGAGGGGGAAAAGGAGGAAGAGGAAAGAAGACTTGCTTGGTCTGCGTTGCAAGCCCAAAATTCCATTCGGAAAACACACCCGAGGCGAAACACAGCAACCGTGTACTCGGCGCCGATCGAAGACCCGAACATGATCGACCCACGAACCTGGAAAGGAATATAGAAATGTAAGGCATGGCAACGTTTCAAAAACACCTGATCGGGCGACGGGCAAACGCAATGCTGAGTGTATCGATCTTGACGTACCGTGCCGAGGGCTGTGCTGTGCTGCGCCGTGCTGAACTGCGATGTGTCATGCCGCGATTGTGATCTATATCGTTGTGGATCAAGTCCTCCTTTGCATCCGAGTCCTGACCGAACTGATCTGGGTCTTAAGCTCGAGCTGCCTGAACACATAGTAGCTGCCCCAGAGCTAATTGGCTGGGGAACATGCCAGTAGGACGCGCCGCGGAACGTTCCAAGGGACGCGCCAGGCGACGTGCCAGGGGACGTGCCACGGGGACGCACCGCGGGACGTGCCGAGGGGACGCGCTGCGGAACGTGCCAATGGACGTGCCACGGGACGTGCCAGGGGACGCGCCGCGCGACGTGCCAGGGGGACTCGCCACAGGACGCGCCAGAAAACGTGCCAAAGCACGTGCCAAATTGCAATGCTGAATGTATCGATCTTGATGTACCGTGCCGAAGGCTGTGCTGTGCTGCGCCGTGCTGAACTGCGATGTGTCATGCCGCGATTGTGCTCTCTAGCGTCGTGGATCGAGTCCTCCTTTGCATCCGAGTCCTGACCGAACTGATCTGGATCTTAAGCTCGAGCTGCCTCAGCACATAGTAGCTGCCCCAGAGCTAATTGACAGGGGAACGTGCCAGGAAGACGCGCCGCGGAACGTCCCAAGGGACGCGCCAGGCGACGTGCTGAGGGACGTGCCACGGGGACGCACCGCGGGACGTGCCGAAGGGACGCGCTGCGGAACGTGCCAATGGACGTGCCACGGGACGTGCCAGGGGGCGCGTCGCGCGACGTGCCAGGGGGACTCGCCAAGGGGCGCCCCACGGAACGTGCCAAAGAACGTGCCAAATTGCAATGCCGAGTGTATCGATCTTGATGTACCGTGCCGAAGTCAGTGCTGTGCTGCGCCGGGCTGAACTGCGATGTGTCATGCCGCGATTGTGCTCTATATCGTTGTGGACCGAGTCCTCCTTTGCATCCGAGTCCTGACCGAACTGATCTGGATCTTAAGCTCGAGCTGCCTGAACACATAGTAGCTGCCCCAGAGCTAATTGACAAGGGGAACCTGCCAGGGGGACACGCCGCGGAACGTCTCAAGGGACGCGCGAAGCGACGTGCCAGGGGACGTGCCACGGGGACGCACCGCGGGACGTGCCAAGGGGACGCGCTACGGAACGTGCTGGGGACAAGCGTTTCGCTCGAGACATCCTGTCCACATCCTCATGCTAGACATCCGCCTGAGCGACCTGGACACGTGAACACGAGCGTTTCGCTCAACACATCCTCAACACATTCTAATGCTAGACATCCGCCTGGGCGAACTGGGCACGTGACAACAAGTGGTTCGCTCGAGACATTCTCAACACATCTTCATGTGAGACGTCCGCATGGATGATCTGGGTACGTGAAAACAAGCGTTTCGCTCGAGACGTTTTCAACACCTCCTCTAGACATCCGCCTGGGCGACCTGTACACGTGAAAGCAAACGTCTCGCTCGATACATCCTCAACACGTCTTCATGTTAGACATCCGCCTGGGCGACCTGGACACGTGCAAACAAGCGTATCTCTCGAGACATTCTCAACACATCCTCATGCTATGCATCCGCCTGGGCAACCTGGACACGTGCAGACAAGCATATCGATCGAGACTTCCTCAACACATCCTCATGCTAGACATCCGCCTGGGCGACGAGGACGCGTGAAACCAAGCGTCTCGCTCGAGACATCCTCAACACATCCTGGCGCTAGACCTCTGCCTGGGCAACCTGGAGGCGTGAAACCAAGCGTCTCGCTCGAGACATCCTCAAGACCTGGGCACGTGAAAACAAGCATTTCACTTGAGAGATCCTCTGAATTCTGGTCCCCAGGAGAGGACAATCTATAACACAAAACAAGCGTTTCGCTCGAGACGTCCTCAACAAATTCCGAAACACAAACGTTTCGCTCGAGACATCCTCAAACATAATGCCGCCGGCCCTAGGTGACCTCGTTATTCATCACAGAATAAGTTCGCAGGCCCTAGAGCCGTCGGTTCCGAGGGTAAACTAAAAGAGAACCCTGGGCCCCCGCCCTTTCCGGGAAAAAGGGGAAAGGATGAGGAAAGAGGAGGAGGAGGCACAGGAAGAAGGATGGATGAGGATGAAGGGTGAGGATGAAGGATGGAGGAGGAGGCGGAGGAGGAAGGCTGGATGGATGAGGTTGAGGATGGAGGAGGAGGGGAGGTTCCATCCGCCCCTGCCCGCGCCCGCCTTGGAGCCAGGGTGGTGCCTCGGGGGAGCATGTGGGTGCGGCACCCCGATCTGGCCCAGGGGGCAGTAGCCGACCCCGACCCTGCCCCAGCACCAGTCCTTGGCCCGCCTGTCGCCAGCCTGAGGCAGGAGGACCAGCTGGCGGAGCAGGCGATGAGGAAGACTTGGAGCCCCGAAACGGTGCGGTGACAGACCGTGCGGTGACCTCGGAACCCCAAGAGACCTCATCGCACGGTCCGTCACCGCACGGTCTTGGGACCCTGGAGGCCCCTGTCGCCCGAGACATCCTCGGAGAACGACCCGAATCCCAAAACCGTGCGGTGACCCCGAATCCCCGCCGACTCACCGCAAGGTGCGGTCACCACACCGTTTGGGGGCCCCCGAGAAGAGGAAGATGAGGAGAGGGCAGCGCCGGAGGACGGGGACACAGAGGAGGCGGAGGCCACGGCCGGGAGGCGGCAGGAGAGGAGCGGCAAGCTCGTCGTGGGCGGACCTGGGGGAGCGGGCGGGGCGATCGGGCCAGCGGGCTTTCACGCGAGCTGGAGGGCGCGCGGAGAAGCAGCAGAAGGAAGAGAGGGAATGGGGAGAAGGGGTGGAGGTGGACCACTGCTCGTCCTGGGGAGCCCTCGTCGCCGCGGCTGGCTTCTCGTCGAATTCTGGTCAGGACGCCCCCGCGGGCGAGGCCTGGGGAATGACGGCTTAGCAACAGCTTTTTGCTTCCTCCAACAGGAGAAGAAGGAACAGCGGTCGGGGCATGATCAGTGGAGGAGGAGCAGCGGCTTCAAGACATAGAGAGAGGGACGGAGGTTGTAGAACAATCACAAGCCTCAATAGAAACATTAACATTCTGAGGTCTGAGGTCCGCGCGGATTTCTTCTTGGACTGGCGCTGGACCCCTCACCCGTGGCGCGCGGGGCGCGCCAAGGGCCGCGCCGGCGGCGCCGCCAGGTGGGTTCAGCGCCAATCCAAAACATGATCTACCCACGAACCTGGAAGGGAAGATACAAATGTGAAGCATGGCAACGTTTTCAAAACACCTGATTGGTGCTGCGCCGTGCTGACTTCCATAAACCGTGCCGCGATTGCACTCTGTAGCGTTGTGGACCGAGTCTCCTTTGCATCCGAGTCCTGACCGAGCTGATCTGGATCTTAAGCTCGATCTGCCTGAGCACATAGTAGCTGCCCCAGGGCTTATTGTCAAGGGGGACATGCCAGGGGGACGCGCCGCGGAACGTCCCAAGGGTCGCGCCAGGGGACGTGCCAAGGGACGTCCCAGGGGGACGCACCGCGGGACGTGCCAAGGGGACGCGCTATGGAACGTGCTGGGGACAAGCGTTTCGCTCGAGACATCCTGCCCAACTCCTTATGCTCATCCGCCTGGGCGACATGCGTTTCGCTCGAGACATCCCCCTAGGTGGCCTGGACACGTTAAAGCACCTTGTTCCGCCATGTTATATACTACCCTGGGCGGCCTGGACATGTAAAACCATGTGGTTCCAATTCGGGACAATCATGTTAGATACCCCCTGAGGGGCCTGGACATGTAAAAACACGTGGGGCCAGCTCTGGGCAGCCATGTTACGTTAGATGCACCCCTGGGTGGCGTGGATACGTTAAAACACGTGGTCCTTGCTCGGGACAGCCATGTTAGATATTCCCCTGGGTGGCCTGGACACGTAAAAACACGTGGTGCCAGCTCGGGGCAACCATGTTAGGTACACCCCTGAATAGCCTGGACACGTTTAAACACGTGGTCCTTGCTCAAGACAATCATGTTAGATACCCTCCTGGGTGGCCTGGACACGTAAAAACACGTGGATCCAGCTCTGGGCAACCATGTTGGATACCCCCTGGGCGGCCTGGACGCGTCGAAACACGCGGTCCTTGCTCGGGACAGCCATGTTACATACACCCCTGGGTGGCCTGGACACGTGAAAAACACGTGGTCCTTGCTCTGGGCAACCATATTAGATACCCCCCTGGGTGGCCTGGACATGTAAAAACACGTGGTTCCAGCCCTGGACAACCATGTTATTAGATACCCCCCTGGATGGCCTGGACATGTAAAAACACGTGGTTCCAACTCGGGACAACCATGTTAGATATCCCCTGGCCGACCTGGACATGTAAAAACACGTGGTTCCAGCACGGGACGACCATTTTAGATACACCTCTGCATGGCCTGGATACGCTGAATTCGCGCTCCCGCTCGAGACATCCTCACAATGTCTGGCCTGGAGAGGCCCCCAAAGCGCCACCCCCTGTCCAGGGCAAGAATACATACCTTTTCTGTATTTGGGATATGTGTTCGGGTAGCGCTTTTCGGCCCCGTGCGTTTCCTAATAATCGGCGTTGGGCCCGACGCCACGTCAGATACCCCCCCTGGGCTGCCTGGACATGTAAAAACACGTGGTTCCAATTCGGGACAATTATGCTAGATATCCCACTGGGTGGCCTGGACAAGTAACATGATCGACCCACGAACCTGGAACGGAATACCTATACGACCACCCTTCGGGTGATAAGGAGGTTGGGGGGGAGGGGGCCAGCAATGGGCAACAGTGGTGATTGTTGTTCTGACGATGCCAGTGGAGATCGTTGCGTTGCCGCTCGCTAGGAGGAGGAGAAGAAGAAGGAGGAGGAGGAGGAGGAAAGTTGCCCGAGATGGTTCATGGCACCCTTCATTCTTGAGAGCCTTGGTGTTCAGAGCCTTGGTGTTAAGAGCCTCAATACCGATCTCACTGTTGATCTGACAATCGATCTCAGTATCGATCATCCTATCGATCTCACTACCGTTCTCACTATCGGTCTCATCGATCTAACTATCGATGTCATTATCGATATCACTATCGATCTCAGCACGTGAAACCACGGGACACCGACGGGACACCGATGGGACACCGACGGGACACAATCGATCTCACTGTCGATCTCACTATCCATCCCACTATCGATCCCACTATCGATCTCGCTATCGATCTCACTATCGATCTCGCTTTCGATCTCACTATCGATCTCACTATCGATATCACGATCGATCTCGCTATCGATCCCACTCGATCGATCTCACTATCGATCTCACTATCGATATCACGATCGATCTCACTATAGATCTCACTATCGATCACTCACTATAGATCTCACTATCGATCTCACTATCGGTCTCATTATCGATCTCACTATCGATCTCACTATCGATCTCACTGTCGATCTCGCCATGGGACACCACGGGACAACGACGGGACACCGGCGGGACACCAGCAGGACACCAGCGGGACACCGGCGGGACACCGCGCGCCACCGGTTGCCGGGCGGAGAACCTTTTGGTCCGGCCGCGGCCCAGCCACGACGGGACTCCGGCGGGACACAAGCGGGACACCAGCGGGACACCGGCGGGACACCGCGCGCCACCGGTTGCCGGGCGGAGAACCTTTGGTCCAGCCGCGGCCCAGCCACATGAGAATTTTCCCTTCCCCCGCTCACTCAGCTTCGCCTCGCCCGCACGCACGGCACGAACACGAAACCGAAATCGATTTTCCGGTAGGGGGTCTCTCCGTTCCACTTCGATCTCACCTCCCAACCTCCGATAGAAATGTAAGTAAGGCATGGCAACGCTTCAAAAACCCCTGATTGGGCGACGGGCAAATGCAATGCTGAATGTATCGATCTTGATGTACCGTGCCGAGGGCTGTGCTGTGCTGCACCGTGCTGAATTGCGATGTGCCATGCCGCGGTTGTGCTCTATAGCGTTGTGGATCGAGTCCTCCTTTGCATCCGAGTCCTGACCGAACTGATCTGGATCTTCAGCTCGAGAAGCCTCAGCACATACTAGCTGCCCCAGAGCTAGTTGACAAGGGGACATGCCAGGAGGACGCGCCGCGAAACGTCCCAAGGGACGCGGCAGGCGACGTGCCAAAGGACGTGCCATGGGGACGCACCGCGGGACGTGCCAAAGGGACGCGCTACGGAACGTGCCAGTGGACGTGCCACGGGACGTGCCAGGGGACCCATTTGTTTTCAGGCTTGCCCCGCCCTGGGGCGTTAGGAACCCACGCGTTTTCACGTATCTCCCGCCCTGGGGCGTTCGGAACCCATGTGCTGTCACGTTTGTCCCGCCCTGGGCGTCAGAAACCCCGAATCCATATCCCAATGCAGTTCACATGAGGCATCCTCGGAATTCTGGCCCCCAAGAGAGGAATCATCTAAACACAACACGAGCGTTTCGCTCGGGACATCCTCACACATTCTGAAACATGCTGGACCCAAGAACCCGGAAAGGGATATAGACATGTGAAGCATGGAAACGTTTCGAGACACTTGGATTGGGCGATGGGCAGTAGCAATGATGAATATATCGATGGTGATGGCACCGTGTCAGAAGCTGCGCTGCGCTGTGCCGTGTTGCGAAATGCTGGACGAAACGCAACGCGAAAGAGCCCACGAAACGCCCTACGAAGCACCCCGCGACACACCCCAAGAAACACTCAACGAAACACGCTAGGAAACACTTGACGAAACACCCAACGAACAGCCACGAAACACTCCACGAATCACCAAAAGAAACACTCCACGACACACCCCACGAAACACTCCACGGAACATCCCACGAACCACCCCACGAAATAGACGTGCCAACAATGCGCGCTGTCCTGCGCCGCGTTGTGCCGTGCTGCCGAGCTCAAGTTCCGATTCAATTATGAAACGGGACGAACCGAGAGGGGGCGAATCCAAAGAAAGACGGAACGCACCGAGCAAGGACGGACCGAAACGCCGCACACCGAGACGCGACGAACTGAGACAGGACGAACCGAAGCAGTACCAACCGAGACGAGGTCCAAAATCACGCTGCGCCCCCGCTCCAGCTGTCACGACCCCTCATGAATTACGCTGCCTCCGCATTCCTAGGGCCACGAACCTTAACAATTCACACTGCGCCCGCGCTCGAAGGATCATTACACTGGGGTCGCGCTCCCACGGCCCCGACCCCTTGTACATTACGCTGCGTCCGCACTCCAATGGCCACGATCCCAAATGATTTACGCTGCGTCCACGCTCACAAAACCACGATCCTTTGCAAATTACGCAAGGTCCGCGCTCCCACTGCCGCGATCCCTCGTGAA